GTGGGGAGCACGGCCGCCGTACGCAGCCGACCCGGCACGGGGTACGTTGCGGAGCCCGGTGCGCAAGAGGTGGCTGCGGGGCGCGCGGCCGGACAGGCTCTGCAAGCTGTGAGACCCAGCTCTGCTCTCCGGCTCAGCCCCTCTCCATTCAAAGACCCCCTGGAAGAGGGCAAACCCCTCGCTCACAGCCCGTGGGGAGGGGCTGCGGCAGTGCGTGGTCCCCCAAATCACCTTGCTGCGGCACCCGCAGTAGGTCTGAACCCCCACGGGAGGAAGGGAGGACGGGCAGCCCCGGGGCCCTGCCTGTAACGATGCCCTTTTGCTGCTAATCAACCACCCCTCGCAAACGCCCACCATGGGTGCCTCTGCCCGCCCGCAGCACCCAGGGCTGGCCAGGACCCCAGGGCACCCCCCTCCCCCAGCACCCGCATCCAGAGCCGGCACATCTCCTCCGGGCACGGCCGGGGCAGCAGCCCGCGGGTGCTCCAGCCCCTACCTTGTGCGTGAGGGAGTGCTGCTTGAGGTGGTGGATCTGGCTGAACTCCATCCCGCACTCGGTGCAGACGAAGGGTCGGACGTTCTGGTGCTTCAGCATGTGGTTCTGCAGCTGGCTGCGGTAGTGGAAGGACTTGCTGCACTCCAGGCACTGGTAGAGCGTGGGGCCCTGGTGCGTGGAGAGGTGCCGCTTCAGCTGGGTGAGCGTGGAGAAGTCCAGCCCGCACTCCACGCAGACGTGGCAGCGGCCGCTCTCGTGCTTCACCTCGTGCGCCTTCAGCTCGCTGGGGTAGGCAAAGCCCCGGCCGCAGAAGCGGCAGCTGTAGGGCTTGATGTCGGTGTGCAGCAGCATGTGCCGCTTCAAGTGGCTGGTCTGGGTGAAGGCTTTGCTGCACACCTCGCACTTGTGGGGCCGCGTGCCCTGGTGGGTCAGCAGGTGGGTCTGCAGGTGGCTGGGCTGCTTGAAGAGCTTGTTGCAGTGCGGGCAGGAGTGGGGCTTGATGCCGTTGTGGCCCAGGATGTGGGTCACCAGGTTGTACTTGGACGTGTAGGACTTCTCGCACATGCGGCACTGCCAGCGCTTCTGGCGGTCCCCCGCCTCCACCAGGTAGGAGTCGTCGATCTGCACGTTGATGTCCAGCCGGTCCAGCTGCGCCTTCTTGTTGCGCTCGCTGGTGGC